CCGTGTGCAATTAACTGAGATCACGTTCAACAAGCGTGGTTTGGTTTTCCTTTTTTTCCACTTGGCTTGGGCACCTTGACTCCTTCTTCCTCACCTTACAAACGTGYTGGTTTTGTGCAACAAGCATTTCCTGGTGCTTCAGTGGCTGCTGACACTTGGTTTGCTCACCTGGGYGTGTGCCCTCTGCAAACACATTGCTGGGAAGTGAAGCTGGTTTTTCTTGCTCCTGTTCATGGAGAGCAAGCAGCGTGCTCAAGTGAGAGCAGGAGCAGAAACCAAGCTGGCCACCACATCTCAACRTGGTAAGCTTTGCATTTGTGCATTTTTATGTCTTTCTGCCATTTAATTAGAATTAATGTGGGCGGCCCTTCCCTTCCTTCCTCTATCATTGGTTTGCATACAGCTGTGTGCCTCAGAAAAGAGAAAAATATCTGTGGATGTGGACCAAGCTTTGGTGGATACCTGTTGGTGCCATCTTAGGTCTGAATTTTACTTCAGACCCCCATGTGAATGAACTCAGCACACATAGGATTTGTGTTTTAAGCAGCACATGATGAAATGTGCCTCTTTTCATTCGAGCTGTGTGTGTTGGATTTTGATTCACCATGCTGTGACCTGCAGTGCCTGCACTGAGCTGGGAGATGGAAACCGTGCCTTCCTGAAGTGTGGGGAAGAGTCAGTGAWGCCATTAATGCTTCTCCTGTGGAGTTTCCAGCTGGGCTGTTGTGCCTCCTGCAGCTTTGTTTCAAGCACTGATTGGTGCCTTTTTAGGAGATSATGCATCTCAGCTTCTTAAATGGCAAAAGTCAATTACAGCCACCACACCACGCTGCATTCAGCTGCTCTTGTTAGGAATTTCTTCACCAATATGAAAATACAGTTTATAGCTCTCCTAGATACACCCTTGCTAGTAAATATGTGTAGTGCAAACAGCATTTCTCTGCTGGCAAAGAATTTCCTGCCAGCAGTGGGTGGAGGCTCTATCGCTCCAGAGATGTGAGGCAATGCTCTGATTCCTGTACCAGTGCAGTCAGTKCACGTGGAAAATGCTGCCTCTGTTGCTGAGTCACTAAATTGTTCCCTGTCCTGGCTTCCAGCTAAGTAAACATCATGGYTCAGCCATGGGAGCAATTTCTTGCACCAGGCAATTTGATGACAGAGCCATAGAGGAAGAGAGGATAACTCCTCTGCCTTCATCTTGCTTCCATTCAGCTTTGTCTCCAGGGAGCAGGATGCTTCTCCCTCKTCCCAGGAAGATGGGGAGAGATGAAGCAAAAGCCTTTTGGAGTGCAGATGGCTGTTGTCTTGCTGGGCTCAGGAGGATGCCCRTGGCAGGAACACCCATGGTCACTGCACCCGTGATAACTGCAAATGTCACTGGTTGCAGTGGATTCACCATCATTCCTGTGGCTCTGAGTAAATGTCCTCATGGAGATGCAATTTTGAGGATGCTTTAATTGTCACAAGCAGCTATGCTGATAGAATTAGCAAAAATAAATGGCACATTCTTCCATACTGTAATGCTTTTTCTTCCMTTTTGTTGTTGTTGTTTGCTTTTTAGACAAGTTTTAAATAATTCTTTTGGAAGAATTGCTCTTGGAAGAAGAGCAAATTCTCTCTGGATAGGCATGGTACCTGTGTGCAGTGGATGCAGTTATATACAGGATAAATTGCACCTTTTAAATTAATTTTTTTGTGTAATTTTGCAGTCCTGTGCTAGTGTTTGTTATTTCTAATGTATCTTCCCTCGACACTAGCTTTAGAGAGGAAAATTGCATTCTAGAAATACATTTCTTTGGGAGTGAGAGAGGTGGGGAAAGTGTGGGGGAGAGTCCCACTGAGCATTTTTTCCATCCTTCCCCTGAGTCAGGGGATATCAGCCCCCTGCTCGAGCAGGTCCCTTACACAGAGCCTGGGGATTGTCACAGAGAAGGAGCAGTGAACGAAGAGGCTTCTTCCTCTGCAAGTCCAGAATCGGATCATTGCTTTACTGTGACTTAAGAAATCAATGKTCTGTCTATACTGAATGCAGATTARAACAAAGCTCATCCGTTTAGGGGAGTTTTGCATTTTTCCCAGTGTCCTAATTCACATTTTAGTGCTCCTCAAGCGCTGTATTGTGTGAAATCTTCACTCACTTTAGGATGAAAACATCTRCATTTCCTAATCAGCCCCAGGGCTGCTTAATAAAACATCACAGGGATGCTTAAAGGAGCATTGTCACTTTCTAAAAGCTGGCTGGCTGGTTTTGTTTTTTAATCCTAGGTTGATTCATGATTCAGCTCTTGGCAGCTAATTTATTCTGGACCATTTAGAGGGAAAGCAAAAGAAGCACAGGAAAGGAGAAGAGCAAATTTCCCTATTAAGCCTCAATTTGAAATACAGGCCTGGTCTCTACTAATGTGTTGTCTAAATTAGGGAAGTCTTAAGTSGYAGATTATWAAAAACAGTGGCTCTTTACTTATTWGTTGTGTTCCTGCAGGTTGTGSTGCCATTRTTCTCTYGTTTAACAACTCTRTATSTAACAAAAGTGCCCAGAATTTACCACAAAGGGCAGGGGGCCAAACCTGGTGGTCTCCTACTGTGAGGGGGGATATTTTGGTAAATCTTGTTCCAGCACAAGGCAGAATGACAGCTGTGTCTTCAGAGTGTCAACACAGAATCTAATTAGGCAGGAGTGATGTAGTATGCAGGACAAAGGATTTTTTGCTAGATCTGCTTCATGCAGGATAAAGGTAACTGCAGTACCTTCAGTCCTAAAAGTTGACCTGGCAAGGTAACATTGCCTAAGAATTATACAAGATTTGGGAAAACCTGGTTTATGCAAAGTTAGCTGCTGCCAGTACTGCAGCTGGCTTGGGGTGCATTATATCACCCAGGCAGAGATCATGAGTGTGACATTTTTAGAAGGAAACCTGTCTGAGCAAAGAGCAGCTTCTCTTGAGGTATCTGCTGAAGCTTCAGCAGGGAGAGAGTATCTGGTTAGGAAATCTTATTTTTGAGTGGTGATTTCACAGTGCAGAAGAAAATCTGGAGGGTGAGGTGGGTCTGAACCTGACAGCTAAAATCCTCAAGATTTTTGTCATAGATGGGACTGAAAGATAAATTCTCAGCAATGTTCAGTAAAAGATAGGAAGGAAGCCACACAAACCACTGAGAATAGAATTCAGCTTCAGTTAATTGTGGTCATTCTGTAAGAATAGAATCTACCACCAACATACTTCTGTTAATGTGGGTAACATGAATGTAATTTATGTCTGTCTAGTAAACTTCATCATGCTCTGCATTATTGTCTGTATTGCAAACGCTGACATAGTTTCTGTTTTCAAACAAGACTGTAATGATTTCTATTCAAGTTTCACACAGTTCACCATAACTCAGTTGTCAGCATGACATGCCAGAATTTTGTTTAATAGACCACTGTGGTGTTGGATTTTTTCCCGTGTAAGAAACTTACTGGAATCATCTTCCAGCTGATTTACATCCAACACAGGAACCTATGGCCCTCTCTGCAATTTGAAGTCCATATTTTCTGACTGTTTGTGATGTCTCCACCCTTACCAGTGCTTAATACTTCTGTGGTGTCTGTGTATTTCACCTTCCAGGAGGCAAATGGAATAACTGGATTCCCAGTTATGGCTTGAGAAATCTTGGCTGTCATATGTGCCTCCCTGCATTGAGAGAAAAATCTCCCAGGATATTCAAGGATCAGTAACTTGCTCAGTCAAAGAGAATATTTGAGGCATTTGTATGGTCTGGAAGGAGTGATAATCTCTTTAGAGTTAGAAGAAAAGCTGAGAAGAAATGGCCAGATGTTAAGTTAACTTTATGAAACAGTTTTTCTCTTTCTCGAATTTCTGTGCCAGAATATATCTCACAAGATGGAGTGTTCCTGGCAGCCTGCTTGTCAAACAAATGCTCTGTGTTTTTGCCAGAARCCCTGGCTACCTGTAGCACATCATCAACACAATAATGGTGCTGTCAGAGACCATTTTTACCACTTTGGTTGTCCTAAATTTCTAATGGTTTTGCTCAGTCTTTCCCCTTTACCTCTTGGCTTTCTATTTCTGAGAAAYATTGATAGAATATCTATTTCTGAGAAAGCCTGGTGCTTTTTTTCTCAGTTAAAAATAATAAATGCCTGTGAGAATAATTTTTTGTGTTCCCCTGCCAGAAAAATCAGCAAACAGGAATTCAGAGCACCTTGATCAGACAAACAATGAGTTTATTCTCTGACTGCAGAACGTGGCTCTGTGAGATCTGTGGTGATGCCTCGTGTTCCCCAGTCTGCTGATGTTGGGATCAGTTTGGGTTGAAAGCTTTGCTTTCACCAGGCATTTTTGAGGCAGTTCAAGGAAGAACCTGACCTTCTTGATAGTAATAAAGAACAGTTCACATGTTGGATTTCTTCCTTTTGCTTACAAGTAACTTGGTCTTATAGTATGAATAGAAAAACCTTCTTCAAGAATTAAAAAAAAAAAAACTTAATGGTCCAGTATTAGGTTTTTTTGGGGGGTGCTGTTAAAATTAAAATATCATTAAAATCAATGCAGCAAATAAAAGTGTAATTTTTCCACGTTTGTTTTTGTTGCTTAGCTGTTGTATGTCTAAGACAGCAATCTAACCAGAAATCGTTTTTGGTTTGCTTGTTTCCCAATTTTCAGTGATAGGAGACTCACAAATGACAATCTTGACTTGAATTTCTGCCTTGCATTGACTTGTTGTGTGATTCAGTTTGTGTTTCACCTTTGTGTCCCATTACCTGATAAAARTGACCCTGATGGTTGGATCTGTACTGCAGAAACAGTGAGATTTGTTACTTTTTTCTTAAGGAAAAACCCCAAACTTTTATGTCAGTTGTGTATGAGCAGCTCCTGAGATAACCTCGTATGWCTGCAGGCCATTCTTCAGTGGCTCCCAAACCATTCCTAGATTAAACYTTTCTCAAATCAGACTCTGATGGTAATTTCAAAATGTGTTTGTTTCACCTTTCAGGTTGTTTGATACAAATATACCCAGCGGTTTTGTGGCTCCAAACTACAATAGTTCAGGAAGCTGATTCTGCGTCTGCCGTGGATGCAATCTGAAAGCCTGCAGTGAGCATCAGCCAGGACCCAAGGGCATTCAATAACCAGGAAAATGACTGCATTTCTCAAGGAAGAAACAAAGGAGAAAACTTTTTTTCTTGAGTAGCTGGAAGGAAAAGCAATACAATCTTGCCACCCGGTTAATTTGGAGAAGCATTTTTCAAAATACCTCTTGACTGTGTGGATCTTGTAACTCTGACACAAAGGTGCCTTTGGAGCTGTGCAAATAAATCACTGGAAGAATTGACTGGGCAAAGTGGTCGTTGACAGAGTGACTCTTGAAGGATCATGACGAAGCACTCAGAGATCATCAATTTGTCATTTTTGATGGAACACGAAAGGGAAACAATACTGGGAGTGTTGAAGAGAGATGAGTACTTGAAAAAAGTTGAAGATAAAAGAATAAGGTAACCCTTTTCGTTATTGCTTTTAAAAATATGGTTGGTAGATAYTTTTGTGTGGTACCCAGTGAAGGTTTTCTATATGCTTCACACAAGGATGAGTGTTGGGAGATGGCAGAGTTAATTGTAAGTTCAAGTGAAGTGTGTTAAAAAGAAATTTGCTTGCTAGCATGGCTCTCTGTAAGCAAAAATCATGTCCATTGCATCAAGACAAAAGTGTAAGGAAGATAGCAAGTGCAAAAATATGCAGCAGTCGTTTTTTTTAATTTTAGATTCTGTAGGTTTAGTTCAGTTTTGGCTGAAATTGAAAGGTTTGCTTAGGTTCTTGCACTCTCTTCCTCTGAGAGGAGCTGCACACAGAGTCTGCCTTCTGAGCTGACTGTGGGGGAGAGGTTTGGAAGGTGTCAGAGGGAGAGAAATTTGGCATCTGCCTCTGTTCAGGACTCCCCATAGCATGAGGCAAATGCAAGATGTGTCCTTTTTCTTTCTGTTGCAGTGCTTACAGAATAGGGAGGGGTGACACTTGGTTTTTCAAGTGACTTAGATTTACTAATAAATAAACAAAATTTAAAATTTCAGGTGTTAATCTCAAGCATCAGTGCTGGGAGTAGTAGAGTCTCAGGGTATTAACAGAGTCCATACGTTCCTTTTCTACTCAGAAAAGTAAAAATCAAAATTCGGAGAAAAATGTGTGGAGGCATGCTGAGTCAGCAGTTTCAGAAGGCTTAGTTTGAGTTAATTCAGCTCAGTATCAGTTCTGGAAAGGTCCCTCTGCTTTTCTAGGATGGTTTTGCTGATTCATTTCATTTCGCCCCAGTGCCCTTTTAAACTTTTACACAGTTCTGAGAGAGAGGTTTGGTGTGGATGGGTGCTGCCCTTGGTGTTGGCTGCTGAGTGTAAYGGATGAGAGGGAAAATTCCAGCCTTTGTTGGTTCCTGTCCATGAATTCCAAGGCCAGGCTGCATTGTTCTTCCCTTTGATTTCCTAAAAACCTTTCAGAAATGCATCTTCTCATTGCACATTGAGAAGGTCTGTGTTCAGCACCTGCTGAGACTTTACTGTGTAAAACTATTATTTGGAAATCCATGCAGAGGTAGGCACAGGTTCTGAAAGCTTTTTTCCTTCAGTTGAGCCAATGCCCCTGTTGGTGTCCAGCCCATATACCTGGGGGAAAGCAGTGGCTCATCTAAAAGGAGGGGATGAAAAGTGKCTGCTCCTGCTGCTGCCAGACTGGAAGGAAAGGTGTTTTTTTTTTAAGGTGGTAGGGACAAATGATTCATTTTGTCTCCTTAATGGTTTGTGAGATGAAGAAGAAAACAGATGTAGCGCAGTTTGTTCCAGGCATTGCGCTCTATTAAGTAATAAGATAAAATTTTCAGATAAAGTATTTCAGTTTTTTGAGGTGGTGGCCTTGGAAATGTGTCRTGTGCCAGTAGTCACCTGTCACAGGCTTCAGTATGGGGGGTATCTGATCAGTGCCTTCCTAAAGCCCCAGAAACATTTCCTTTCTGCTTCTGTCATTT